GATGATTTGATGTGAATAAATAGGCCACTTTCTCTGATCTTGCGGGTCTCTGGGTATGCTAATGTCTTTGGGATAGACAAGGTATACTGAATGAGTGTGCTTGCCCATGTGAATTCTCAGGTCAAGACCCATACTGTGTAACGCCAGCTCTCAGGGAGAATGCTCCACTGCTGATCTCAAATTGCTTATTGTTAATGCATGCCATTAAGATTAATCTTTGCTTTAGCTGTCAGTTCTTATTTACAGACCCAAATTTTCTTTGCTGCAGTTAATTCTAGTTATGAAATCTTCCCTGATTCTGAGGTCCTCATGCCATCTTAAATTGAGTGGCCTTAATTTGAGGATTGAGTGTGTATGGAAGGGATTAAGACCCATTAACTGAATTCACAATTCATTTAATAGAGGTGGAGCCTCCTTATCTTATAGATTCTTTGAGTGGAGTGTCAATAGTGTGGAACCCAAATTTTATTGGACATAAAAATCGTAATTTTCTTGGTCAATATAGATGACAAAAGGGAAGAAAACTACCCTGACTGAACACCTCCTACCATACATGGACACTATGTGTACTCATGGCTTTATGTACCTTTTTTCATTAACAACAGTTTGAATAAATTAATATTTTATCCAAATTAAAAATAAGAGATATAAATCTTAAAAGAGATACAGTAGCTTACCCAAAGTCATAAAGCTATTAAGCACAGCAGCTAAAATGTTGAAAAGGGAGTGAGGGACTTCTGTTCTGCTAGTATTCCCCTCATAATAACACATAGAACACGAATTTTGATCTATGAGTTCACATTATTTAGCACATAATACTAAATAGCTGCATCTTATATATAGATCACGTCTATTCCAAAGGACAGAAAGAATTGGGCAGCTGATTCATTAGGGTCCATTTTCTATCACTCAGCTCAAGACTAATTATTCATAAGTATCAGCTAAGGGGGTTCTCTTTTCACCATGTCAGTCACTCTCACCAAAAGCGATCTGAGTAGGAATTTTCAACACAGTGAAAAGGGTCTATTTCACTACTTCTACTGCCTACAGGGACCTGAAGCTCTCTACATTTAACGAAGATGGACATGCCTGGATCCAAGTCCTAACGAAATTCGCCAGCTTAACTATAATGCGTAAGTGTGACTCCTTCTCCATGTCAGCAGCAGTTTGGTTAGCTCTTAGCATAGCAAGCAATGGGCTGGCATCAGGAAAGAGCAGAGCTATTTTTACCCAAGCCACAGATACGTAGAGTCAAAGCACCAAAATGGCTTTATAAATACAAGGTCTGGCATAGCATAGTTATGCATTCATGCTTATGGAAAAAAGAGGCAAAAAAACAAAAAGGAGAGAGAGAAGAAAGACACAGCAGCTTCACCAGATACCCTTTCCCTTGGAAAAAAACAAATTTTACTTCTACTTAAAAATGTTAGGCTGAACACGTGTTTAACCCCTTCTTCATCCTTTCCAAAAGTCTACTTAAGTGTCATTAAGCACTATAATGTTTTGGTATTGCTTGTTTGTCTGCCTGTCTGTCTGACTGTGTGTTTTAAGATGGAAATACACAAGGGCAAAGAAAACAGAAAGAAGCTAAGTACATCAAAATTTTGAAAGGTTAAAAGTAACTGGATGAGTAGTAAGAGACTTAGCAGAATCCTAAACTGGAGGAAGGTGTAATTTCAAAAACAATTGAGAATAAAGAAGATCCTACAAGTTTGCAGACAAGAAACACAGTTTTTGTATAAAGCTTAAAGACTTATATTGGCATTACAGTTCTAAACAGAAATCTTGAAGCCAAAATAAAATTGAGCGATGCATTCAAAATTCTGAGGGAAAATTATTTCCTACACAAAAGACTACCCCCAAGGAAGCTATCAATTAAATGTAATGGGAATAAAGCCATTTTCAAACATATAGGCTTAAAAAAATTATTTTCCATGTACCTTTCATTGGTAAACTAGTGGAGAATGCTCCCATCAAAAGAAGAGAGTAAATGAAAGAGAAGGCATGAGATCCAGGAAATAGAGCATCCAACATAACACATCAAAGGGAATCTCCAGAATAGTAGTGAAGGGATATTTCAAGAAAACCCTGTGCAGAAGCCTTAGAGAGTGACAAGTTGCAGCTGGGGTTCTCCAGAAGCAGATGCAAAGAAGGAGTTTGGCATGTGGGGTATTTATTAGCAATCAATACTCAGGGAGTAGGAAGAAGGGAGAGGGAAGAGTCAAGACTGAGCAAAAGCAGAAATTGAATTATGGCACAGATGCAATAATGCCTCAGCCAACCATTCAGAGAACTCTAGGGCATTGCAGCCCATTTGAATTGTCCCATAGTGGGTGGAAGTGACAACTCTCTCCCCACTCAAAAGCTGTTTCCATGCAACCAGGGGCCTTGCCTGTCCTTTTCACTCTGTATCCAGGTACTTAATAGGTGCTCAGTTAATAGATACTGAACTTAAAAACCACTGAGCTTCACAGTTAACATGGTCAGGCAATCTTCTGGCTTTTGGTTGTATTTCAAAGTAGTTAAATGTTAAGTATGGCAGCTCTTTGATTTAATCACTGCAAATATGTGAATAAGCACGTAATTGAGTTTTCAAGGCCACTATACAAGTAAGAGCTTCTGCATCCCAAACCTTGCCTTCCTGAATTCCAAAACTCCGAGCCACAGTTGATAATGCATCATTCAGTAAGTGCCACCCATTCTCCCAACACAGGAATTGGCAGAGCAGAAAGCAAAGACATGAACAAACTATTACTAACATGTGTTGAGCCTTTATTACACACAAGGTGCGCAGTATATTTCTCATCCTCCTAACAATTCTGAAAGATAGTTTTGTTTTAACACCACTTTAAGATGGAAAATAGAGACTCAGAGAAGTGAAGTCACTTGTCTAAGAACACTAAGCAGGTAATTACCTGAGTGTTGAATGAGAAGTCAGGTCTGTCATTTCTAACACCAGTGCTCTTTCCACTATAAAATGTCATTTCTAAAGTCTAAATTTGTATTTTTTCACATCCCCAGAAGATCAAACCACAGTAGCTAAAACTGTGTCATTATAATAACACATTCTTTTTATAAAGGAAAAAGCTAGGAAACCAACTTCTCTAGTTTGTCATCAAGAAGTTTAAAGAAATTTTTTGTTCTTGAAGCACTTACACAATTTTATGTAATGACTCTGAGAATCATGGCTCAATCATTGAGTATAAATCAAGGGGGGAGGGTGTAGATGATAAATGTCTTTGAGCTAATAGTGGAAAAGTACCAAAGTCTTCAGGAGGTTACAGGTTAGCAGGAAAAGATATGAAATGTAAATGACAGTTCATTTACTGTAAGAACAAGGTACAAATGTTCAGAGTAATTTCTTTCCACCATGAATTCCTAATGAAATGTTGAGATCAATGTCAAACAGGTTATTGAAACAGGACAGGGAATAGATATCAAAATAAGTCAAACTGAGTGAAGTAAGTTAGAAGAAACAGAGCCATATGATCCTTTGTCTTTGGTTTCAAGAACAAAGAATCACTTTTTTTTTTCTTCTCTCAAAAGCAATAGCATTTAGGAACTATTAGTCATGATGAAAATGCCAAAATTTCAAGGTATAGTTATAGTTTTTAAAGATGTTTTTAAACAAAAATAAAACAATCTCCTCCTTAACACAAAACTTACAAAAATAATTTTTAAAGCAACCTTAATTTCAAGTTTTCATTAGTTATCTTGATAGCTATACCAAGATAATTTATACAAAAAAGCTTATAGAAAAAAACTTTATCAGAAAATCTCTATTTTCAAGACAATTATAATCACATATTTTCCTAATTATAAAATACATGTCCATTATTTGAACATGAAAAATAAGAAAGAAAATCCTCCCATAATCCCATACACTATACTTTTCTTACAAGTAGAAACATGTTTATATATTATGTATATCATATATATTTTATGCTCCGTTTTAGAATGCTCATAATCTTTTCCCTACCCTCGGCTTTGGGGATTACCTTTCTCCAAGATGATACTGACTATATGAAATTATTTTTTGAATTAAGGTGGTTTTATTAAACACATGGTTGTGCATGATTTGATTCATAAGCCTCCAAAAAGCTTTTTATATAAATACATTTAGGAGTCTTTTGCTGGATGGTTTCTTCATAGTGAATATAAAAGCTATGTTAATTAAGATCCCACAACCATCTACATGCTACCTATGTAATCAGAGTCACCTTCTTGCTGGCCTTACCCAGGACATGGGTTTAGGGTGTCAAACTGCTGTTAGTGAAGCGCCACCTTGCTGTCCTCTCTCAGCACCCTTTCCTTTTATCATTGTTCAATAGCCATTTACATAGAACTCTGTTTCAGAATCTCACATTGTAATTACCTGTAAAAAAGGAGTGGGTTTCCCTGTTGCTCACTGTTGTCCTAACACCAGCCCAAGGCTCCCTCTTCTAGGAATAAAGTGCTTCTCAGGACGTCCTGGCCCTCAGTGTGGCTGGTTGGTTGGTTGGTTGGTTGGTCTGTGTGCGCCTTTGTTTTGAGGGGGATGTATAGTTGTACCAAGCCATGGGGAAGAGGTCAGATGGTACTTCTCACAGCTCAGCAAGGTCTGGGGCTGAAGACGCTACAGAGGATCTCCAAGTGGTCCCTGCCGTCCTTCCCACAGGTGCCCATATCTGTCCCTCCATCTCATGCCACCTGGTTCTGCGGGTGATTTCTCCTCCTCCCCCTAAGCCATGCTCCTGCCACATGAGATAGAGAGCTCTTTCAAAATTTCGCATGGGCATGAAGTTTATCCCCTGCTTCCCTTGAGCCTGCCTTTGCAGGTTTGAAAAGCCTGTGTTGAAGGTTGACAAACAAAACAAGAGAGGCTCAATCCTGTTTCCCCAGAGTCAGCGTGAAAGCCACTGAGGAACGGTCCCATAAAACGGGGAAGGGCAAAGAGGACACAATGGTTCATATTCCAAACCATCCTCACACTAATTAATTCAATTACCGGCTGCTCCGCGATGACTGTGAGCAGCCTGAGGGCAGAAGCGCGGCTCCCGAGGCCTGCCCCCCAGCGCTCAGCACCACTTCCGGCCCAGCTGCGCAGCCTCAGGAGCGAGTCACTAAACGGACACACGTGTGAGCGCTTGCTATTTTGATTATCAGATACGGAGAAATTTGGCTGCAACAAACGATATTCTTAACAACTTCCAACTGTGCAGTTTCAATCAAGCAGAAACACGCTTTACTTCTAAATGGAATACTGGAGTACTTACTGTATACTGTTGAATTAAACAGATTTATGATAGTTCTGCAAAAGTGAAAGTTTACAAGGTGTTTTAAAGAAACTGATATCACAGGCCATATAATTTCCACAAGTATTTCAATGTAAGACTGTGTAATTCCTCTGCATCTGAGGGTGATGTAAGTGCAGGCGTTGAACACTCAGGCCTCCACCCCCAGTCGAATGGGATGACCAATGGATATAAAATTAGGGAAAAACGGCATCAGTGTTGGAAAATAGGAAGGATGCCATACATATGCCCGACACGTTAGGGAATGTATATTTCATAGAGGCGGATGGCAACGAACTGAAGGCACGCTTCAGACAGAATAGTGAGGAAGTGGAGGGACCCAGACAATCCCTGCATGACCAACTAATTTGCAGGGGGTCAAAAGAGACCTTGGGACAGGAAAACGCTACAATCAAAATGCTACTTCTGCTGCTGGGCTTTCCCCTGGAGCCCGGGAGAGAGGGCTCAAGAAGGAAGTGCTCGAGACAGAAACGAGAAGCCACTGCGAGAGATGGAGGCCACCCAAACAGGGGCGTTTGGGGGGTTCTAGGTCCTGAAAATGTGACGCAGGTCCAAGCAAGAAAATCACCTTGAAGAGATGAAATGCTTCTTCTGAAATGTGGGGGTGGGCAAAAGTAGGTTTACAGCTGTGCACACACGAAGCAGTTTATTCTTATTTCATTATCGGTTGATTATTGTATTATTTTCCATATGAACAACTGTATTTTGCCCACCCCTATATTTATTCTAAGAAATAAGAAGGCAAATATGCTAATTCGTTTCTCAGAAAGATCGTAAAGGATTTCTGAATGAGCCCCTCTAACAGAGTCAACCAATGGAAATAAAAAAAAGAAAAAGCTGTTGAATGTGGCATAGATGGCTAACTGTCAACCAAAAATTCATGGTCTCCCTTCCATTATCCTTGGGAGGCACCTGTCCCCTCACATTAGAGTACAGCCATAGGAACAGTTCCTGGCGAAGGAATCTGAGCAGACCTGAAGCTCCCCTCCTGGGCCGGGGTTCCTCAGAAGCCAGGGTGCCTTCCCAGCACATCCGTCCACTCTGGCTGCCTGGAGAAAGGGCTCAGAGGGCCTCGGAGATGGAAGGAAACATGTACCCTGAAGCTTCAAGCAGAGGGAAAGAAATGAACTTCTATTTGTTACATTTGTACTGGGCTTTGTTGGTGGGGTAGGTTATTTAATGGCTGCAAATTCTTTCCCTCCCGGCATCCACACCCCTTTGCAATGTGACTTTGCTTTGCCGTCCAAAGGAAAAACTCTATTTCCTCTCTGCGCTCTCTAAGGGAAACTGTTTTTCCATACTCTACTACATTCACACCAATACTTCACTTCTGACACCAAATGTATGTGGTTTTCTTCTCCACACTCAGCAATTCTCCACCTTGCTGTGGGCACCAACTGGGTGTCCTACAATTCAACTAAATTCTGACACTCCCTACCTGAAGGTATAGCATCAGATCCCACAAGTTAAAGGCTCAGTCCCACAAGACTGTTCCTACTTCAGATGCTAATCACAAGTCAAGGTTGTCATCGGTGCTTCTGACTGAACAGCTATAAATCAGGGGGTTCCCACAACCACCTCCTTGGCTTCCATAGTTTATTAAAATGGCTCATAAAAGTCAGGAAAACATTTCACTAACTAGATTACCAGTTATTATAAAAGGGCACAACTCGGGAACAGCCAGGAGGAAGAGGGGCGTAGGGCAAGGCCTGGGGAGAGGGGCACGGAGCCTCTATACCTACTCTGGGCAGCACACCCTCCCAGCACCTCCATGTGACCAGCAACATGGAAGTTCTCCAAATCCAAGCAGGACTTTTAATGGAGGCTTCATTATATGGACACAATTGATTAAATCATTGGCCATTGATGGTTGAGTCAGCGTCAAACCCCATTCACCTCTGAGCTCCAGGGCTAAGGCTGGAATTTTCAACCCTTTAATTATGTGGTTGGTTCCCCTGACAACCACCCCCAATCCTGAGGCTATTCAAGAGCCATCAGACATCAGTCACCTCAGTAGCGCATGAAAAGAAACTATCATTTTGGAGATGCCAAGAGTTTTAGAAGTTCTGTGCCTAGAATAGGAATGAAGACCAAATACAGATGCTCCCATAGTTACCACGGAGTTACGTCACAAGAAATCCATTGTAAGTTGAAAATATCCTAAGTCAAAAATGCATTTAATACACCTAGCCTAGAGAACACCATAGTTTAGCCTACCTTAAAGCACTCAAAACACAATATCCAAAAATGCTGGCAACACAGTACACTGTAGAGTACCAGTGGTTTACTCTTGTGATCGTGTGGCTCACTGCTTCTACACAGCATCAGAAGAGTATCATACCGCATATCGCTAGCCCAGGGAATGATCAAAATTCAAAATACAAAGTACTGAATACATAGTGCTTTTGCACCACTGTAAAATCAGAAAATCCTTTAAGTCAAACCACGTTAAGTCAAAGACTGTATACGTTTCTTATTATTAGTCACAATATCACACCTTTTACCAAAGGAAGATAGAACTTGGATGGTCTTGTGACTTGTTTCGGTCAACAGAATGTGGCAGAAGTAACATTGTGAATTCTAGAGCCCAGGCCTTGAGATCTTGTTCGCACCTATTGGAACACCCCCTTCGCCCTGTAGGGGGGCCTGGGTCATCAGAGAAGCTGGATGGAGAAAGACCCTGTAACAGCCAGTACCGGGGCCCCAGACTACACATGACAGCATCTCGGACCATCTTAGACCCTCTAGTCCCAGGTGAGCAGCAGATAACTGTAGCCAGAGAAGTGAGCCCAGGAGAGGCCACTAGGAGAAGCATGAAATGTAAAATTAGGGGAAAATACTAAAAATACAATGGAGATAAAACAGACCTCTCTCTATTACCAACTTCCAGAAAACAACAGAGTGAAACCCAGAGCATTCTGAGAGGAAAAGATGTGACAAAGAATCATACAAGTAAACAATTACTTTATTTATATGAGACTGAAAGATTTATACTGAGGGTTATAAGACATAGAAATTAAGTGATCTGTGTATGCCTTCAGAAAAGCGTAGACAGATAAAAATTACTGGAAGACTGAATCAAGACATAAAGCAAAATTTTAAAAATCAAGAATGTGGAAGTCATGGTAGAAAAGCTTCAGTGGTACAAATGAAACTACAAAAAAAGTTGTTTAAATAATTATAAGTATGGCTTAAAACTTGATACAGATGTTAATAATAATCCTTAAAAGGGAAGCTACATGACGAAAATGATAATTTGGATCAAAGTCACAAATTATTACCAATAAAATGTAGGACATATGGGAAAAGTTATATATAAGTATGTTAAATTCCTTATACAATGAAAATAAATATTCTTTAATTCTCATTATCAGTAATTATATAAAATATATTCAAATATATTTTTAAAAATTAAAGGGGAAAAATAGAGGTCAAATAAAAATCTTCCAATTTTATCCATGAGACTTTGAGCAATGTATCCCCACTCTAGTGATTTCTTAAAATTATATATAAATACATGTACTTTTTATTGTATGCACATATGTATGTGTATGCATTATATAATAGCCAAGTGCTGGAAACAGCCTAAGTGTCCATCGGGTAAAGGAGCGGATCCAAAAACTGTGGTACATTTACACAATGGTATACTATGTAGCAGAAAGAAAGAAGGAACTAGTACCCTTCACAACAGCATGGATAGAACTGGAGAGCATTGTGCTCAGTGAAATTAGCCAGGCAATGAAAGACAAATACCATATGATCTCACTTACAAGTGGAACCTAATCAACAAAACAAACAAGCGAGCAAAATAGAACCAGAGACATTGAAATAAAAAACAAACTGACAGTGACCAGAGGAGAGGGGGAGAGGGGTAATGGCAGGAAGAGGGTGAAGGGTCATCAAGGAACATGTATAATGGCCCAGGGACAAAGACAATGTGGGATGCACAACTGAATGTGGGAGGTAGGGGTGGGTAGGGTGGGCGAGAGTACCGGGGGGCAGGGAAATGGAGACAACTGTAATAGAACAACAATTTAAAAAAGAACATATGGTAACAGAATCATCAAAAGAGTGAGATAAACCTAAAATTAACACTGATTTAAAATAAATTTGATTGCATTTATTAATAACAAACAACTATTTTCTTTCCCCAAAATAAGAATAACTTTTAGTGGAAACAGAATGATTTAATTTGCTCTCACTGTTTTTGAAAATGTTGGTTCTATAATACAGCAATTGCAAGGCATTACCAGGCATTCATTTTCATTTCAAACTCTGTTTCATTACAACAGTAGAATAAGACCCTTCACAGACACAGAAAAACTCAAGGCTATGACATTGGCTACACCTAAAAGTCAAAACATTTATATCCTATTCTCTTCACCGATTATGTACTTGTTATTGTTAATATTTGGTAGTAAATTTCCAGTTTCCGTGATATCATTGAAATTTGGTAGTAAATTTCCAGTTTCCATGATATCCATCAATTGTTCTTAAAATAGGAATCAGTACATGTTATATTTTTACGCTTCAACAAATGGGTTTAAATTGTCTAAAACTTTTAAACAGGATAAAATTTCTATTTCAAGTTTTTTAAGTGTGTTGATATGAGAGATTATTTTTTATAGGTGTAACATTTGTATCATTTTCAGCAATGTATCAGATAGCAATGGAAATACCAGGAAACATTTCCAAACATCCGTTTTGAAAACACTCTCTGTTACCTCATAATGTGGCTTATGGTGAATTCCTGCCAGGAAAAAGGAAAGTATTAGCTAGGACTTTTGGGGGGGGTGGGGGGTGGGGGCGGGGGAGGGCTAGGAGGAGGGAATGGGACGAGGGAGGAGAAGGTTGTTATCATTGATCTCCTGTATTTGCATCAAGGATATGACTTTAACCTGCATTTTTTTTTTCAGGAATCATTTTAAGATCCTTGCCAATTCTGTGAATTAGCCTAGATAAAAGTGAATGAGGTAACCCTAAAGTCCACTTAACTTAAACTCCAGTGAGCCACGGAAAGTGAACAAAGGGTAAAAGTGTCACCGTAATTCACCCTGACATCTGGAAGTCACTCTCTTCTACTTGCTACCTATGAATAAATGGCGGGCCTGCCTTACATGTGGACCTGAGTAACATACCAGCATCAACTTACAGTAGGTATTAGTAGAGCATCATACCTTTTTAAATGTTCAAGTAAAAAAAATAATATTTTCTTCTGGGTCTCCAAGGAATGATCTTGTACAACAACAGAGGTACCTGCATCCCACTTCGGAAAATGAGGGTCTAATGCAGTAAATCAGTATGGAAGCATAATAGACAGAAGACCACAGAAATGAGACCAAACACATCAATTGTGACAATCTACATGGTCAGAATTCAAAACCAAACTCTAAGAGACACCTCTGAAACCAGAGGACTAAATTATTTTAAAAGACTAAAAATGCAAAGAAAGGAAAAGGCACACTTCTGTTTTTGCAAGCCCAAACAATGAGGAAGGAGGAGCCACAATATTATTTTCAGGCCAAAGAGAACGTGAGGCAGGGAGCATGAAGCAGAGCAGGGAATGCCCTCACACGTCCTCAAAAAGCACAGTCCACAGAGATTTCAAAAATAAATACACGTTTGTGTTTGAAATACTATGCAAAATGCATTGAAACACAGCTATTGGAGACTTGAAAATACCACTTCAACCTTGCTCATTCAGGTAGGTAAAAGACAACCCAGGATACGGAAGATGTGAATAAGAGAGTTGCCTTAATTTAGTTTATACATAGTGATTTTAAGGGGAAGAAACAGATAACATACCTTCTTTCCAAGATCTTCTGGAACATTTACAAATATAGATCATATAGTTGACTGCTAAATAAAGCCAAAATCAATTCCCCAAAGTAGGAATTATATAGGTCACTATTCTCAGAGCACAATGCAATTGAAATGTAGAAATTAATAAATTACATGGTGTCACTGGCCTTTTACTATAAATCATTCTCCCCAAACCATAAGCTTTACATCAAAACATCAGAGAAATTTACTTTGCTCTAGAAATATATAAATTTATTATGCTCTTAGAATATTTCTCTTTTCCCAACCTTCTGGAAAAAGATAATTGAAGGCTTAGACCACTTTAGGATTGAAGAAATGCACGCATATCGTAAGGAATTCTGCCAATCAAAAAAAAAGGTGCAAAGAAAAAAGTCACCCATAACCACACTGTCCAGGGGTACTTTTGATTTTACCATTCCAGGCTTTTCCTATACATCACACACTAACACACATACAAACACTCACACATGCCACCAAATGCTTTTTCTCCCCCACAAAATAGGGTCATAGTTTAAGTTTGTGATTTTCTATTTATTAACAAATCACAGGCATATTTCCATGCTAATAAATAATCGTTAACACTGTCATTTTTAAAAACTGGTTTTCCACAGTGTGTGGATGAACCAGTTATTTCACCAACCTCTTCTGAACTCTTTAGTCATTGACATATGAATAATATTCAACCACATATGCTGCTTGTATATGTTCCAGTTTGTCATTTAATGGTGGTAATTTACTGTGTTTGTTTTGTTGTTGCTTGGTTGGTTCGGGTAATTTTCTAAATTTGTATTTTTGTTGGTTTGTTTTAGTTTGGTTGTTAATTTTAATTTTTATACAGTCAGATCTATCATTTTTTTCTCTTATAATTTCTGATGTGGATGTCATTAAAAATGTCTCACACATCCTAAAATTACAGAAAGGTTTACTTATATGTTCTTTTAGTTTTAAATACTTTTTAAACTTTAATCCATTTGAAATGTATTTAGGTGCACAGCATGAGGCTGGCAGACAGCATGGCATAGCGATTAATAACATGAACCCAGACTCTAGACTATCTGGGTTCAAATTCCAGCTCTTTTCTTGACAAATTGTATGACTTTGGACAAATTCCTTAGCCTGTCTGTGTCTCAATTTCCTCATCTATAAAATAGTGATAATAATAGCATGTACTCATGGAATTCTTGTGAAAGTTAAAAATATTAATTGGTATGAAGAATGTAGAGCCAGGCTCAACACATAGCACTAGCTATCATTGTTCCAAATAACTAGCCAACTATGCCAACCCATTCACTGAATATCCTCTGCTCTCATTTAAAATTTGAAATCCCACTTGTATTATTTACTAAAATTTGGTAACTATCTGTCAGGCCCTATCCCTGTGCCAATACTTTTTAAGTTACTTTCACTTTGTAATGTGCTTTCCAATGTCATGGTGCAGATATGCCTTAATTATTCCTCTTTTTCGAAGTGTCCCTGATTCCCCTTTCTTGATATTTTTCAAGAACTTAATGATATCTTGTCAAATTTCAAAACGAATTCCATTGGAGTTTTAGCTGGGATTTGGTTTAATTTGTGGATTAATTTAGGGCTAATCAGTATCTTTATATCAAAATAATTTTAATGACAAGAAGTTTAAGTTTTCCAAAATACTTTGGGAACATTGTGAAACTTTAGACTCAAAAACAGATTTTATCTGGGCAGGTAGGCATTGCTTCCATTTAACAGACAAGTAACAAGGCTTAGAAAGGCTTGGGATCTCACAGTGGAAACAAGTGGCACAGTCAAAATTTATACCAGAATCTGTTAAGTTGTCCTCTACGTGAGTATGCCATTTAGCTTGTGACCTATGATCATTATTTTGAATAAAATATATTCAAATATAATTTTAGGAACTAATATTTTTTACCAACATGTTCACATTTTCACCCATT